TGGGTATCCACTCTTACCCACCGCACTCTGACTAGTGGATGGTCGTTAGCCGAACGGGTAGGATAGGGAAACTAATTCCTCATTAATAAGTATAATGATCTATTAAGTAACTAAATGTTTTTATAAATTTGCAATCTTAGTTACTTTAGGAAAATGGGAAAATGATGTTATTCCATGAAATTACAGTTTGCACCTTGACAAGTCATTAGTGGAGCGTGTGTGGTTAACCGACACTCTAATTTGGGACTAGAAAAGGTGGAAAAGGGTATCTCGATTTTTATCATACATAAATGGAGCGCGTGTGGTTAACCGACATATTGATTAAGTGGTAAATGACATCGAGAGTACCAAGTACATTTGCATGGTTATTCACATCTTGTTTGTAACCTCGGTATCCCAGTCACAAACGTGAAGAGCATATCGAGAATGAAACACGCCATTGAAAAGTTCAATGAATCTCAAAAGAAACTAGGAAATGCAACTCATTTAAAACTTAAATTGTCTCTTTCGTTTTTCATGGCGGAAATTGATAAATCGTCATTTACCTACCTTCAAATTATTTACAATTAGATTACAGAATCCGTCTTCTAAATTGTAAATAATTATGTGGGGTCCTAGCCCTAATTTTTTATTTGGGTGTTAAATTGGGGATTCTTATCTAATCTAAACTTTGTTCCTTTTTTTTTCCAGATGTCTGCTTCGAACAACAACGACGCTTCTGGCTTGACCCATTCCGACTCATTCTCACTCATGAACTTGTATGGGAGGGTAATATTCGATGGATCCAACTTCAATGATTGGATCCGAAACATTCGCATGGTCACTCGTTACGAGGACAAAGAGTATGTTCTCGATAAGGAGCTGAAGGAGGTTAATGTGAACACTATTACTCCTGAAGAGATTGCAACCTACGAGGCTCATGAGCGAGATGCTACAAAGGTTCATTGCATCTTGCTCGCAACAATGACTGCCAAACTCCAAAATTCCTACAAGGACTACTATCCGTACGAGATTCACCAAGATTTGATGGATAGGTACCATCAAAGTGCTAGGCAAGAATGGTATGAGATCATCACTGTGATGATCACTACCAAAATGAGGGATGTAGAGTCCATCACGACCCACTTGCAGAAAATGCAGAGATACGTGGACCGCTTGCTGAAGTTAAATGTTAACTTCAAAGAGGAGCTGGTCATAGATATTATTCTACACTCCTTACCTTCTTGTTACGACTAGTTTCATATGACCTACCACATGAAGAAGGAGGAGGTCACTCTAAGTAAGCTTCAAGGCTTGCTAAGGACTGCTGAGAGTAGTCTAAAAGGTAAATCTATTGCATCCACTCCTGTTGTTGCTGCCCCTGTTTTGGCTATTTGGCAAGGGAATCGAAAAAAGAGGAAGGATCCTTCAAAGATCCACCACAAGGGAAAGTCCCAATAGGGTACCTCTTCTAGTGGAACCAAGGCTGGTCCTGCTGCTCCCTCTTCAAACCCAAAGGATGCATATTGCTTCTACTGCCATGGCAAAGGGCATTTGAAATGAAGCTACCCGAAGTACCTGCAAAACATCAATGATAGGAAGATAAAGCCCACATTCGCAGGTATTTATACTATTCAATCTAATAACTCATCACATGCTATGTCTTGGGTCCTTTATACAAGATGTGGTTTTCACATTTGTTCTGATTTGAAGGGTCTAAGAAGAAGTAGGGATGTGGAGCATGGGAAGATATACTTGATCATGGGGAATAGGAAAGTGTCGTCTATCACCAAGATTGGAGTTTACTATTTAGTGCTTAGTAGTGGGTTAGGTTTAGATTTCAATAACTTTTTCTATTCATCAGAAATGACACGAAACATTATTTCTTTTCATGGTTTGTATAAACAAGGTTTTAGATTTTCATTTCATAATGAAGGTGGTTCTATTAATGCTTTCTTTAATGGTACTTTCTATTTTGAAGCATTGCATTATAATGGTATATATGAAACTGTGATGGTTGTAGAAAACTTAGGAAATGATGTGTTGCATATCGATTCTTCCAATGGTTTGGATAAAGCATGCTTGTGACATTGTCATCTTGGACATTTTAACAAGAAGTGTATAACCCAACTCCAAAAGGATGGAGTGTTGGAGTCATTCGACCTTAAGGACGATGATACATGCGAGTCTTGTTTACTTGGAAAGATGGTCAAGTCACCCTTTACTGGTACTTGTGAAAGGGGTGATGGTTTATTGGATCTCGTACAAACTGATGTATGTGGGCCCTTTAGATCCACCACAAGGGATGCAAACCACTTCTATGTGACTTTTACTGATGATTATAGCATATATGGGTATATCTACTTAATCAAGCACTACTAAAAAATCTTTGAAAAGTATAAAGAGTTTAAATAAGAAGCGGTGAATCAGCTGGGCAAAAAGATAAAGATGCACCAATCCGATCGAGGTGGTGAGTTTCGTAGTATCGAGTTCCACGTCTACCTCAAGGAATGCGGAATTGTTTCACAATTGACGCCACCCAGGACACCACTGTTAAATGGTGTGGCTGAAAGGCACAATTGAACCTTCTTGGACATGGTTCGTTCCATGATGATTCAAGCTTCGTTACCTATATCATTATGGGGTATGCCTTAGAGACTGCCGCCCATATCCTTAATCTAGTCTCGACAAAGAAGGTTGCCAAAACACCTCACGAGATGTAGATAGGGAAAGCTACCTTGTTAGCACATATCAAGGTTTGGGGTTGTGAGGCTTTCATAAGAAGAGAGACTCACGACATGCTCGGACCTCGTAGTGAGCGGTGTATTTTCATCGGCTTTCCACATAAGTCCTTTGGATATCTCTTCTATAGACCGAGTGACAATGTTGTCTTCGTTATGAGGAGAGGGGTTTTCCGAGAGCGAGAACTTATATGCCAAGAGGACAGTGGGAGACAAATTGATCTTGAAGTGCTTCAAGAATCAAGTGATGAAGGAACCTCTAACACTGTCGCTCAACCTGGAGAGGATACTCCTGGTGAACCGATTGACGAGTCCTTACCTCTTAGACGTTCCAGTAGAGTTAGTGCTCCACGCGTATTATATGGTTTCCATATAACTGCTGAGGGTGATACGTTTATTAGTGATAGTAAATTGATAAATTTGGATAAACCTAACAACTAAAAGGAAGCCATGGCAGGCCCGGAGTCGGTGAAATGGAAAGAGGCTATGGACAGCGAGATTCAGTCTATGTATGACAATCAAGTTTGGAACTTGGTTGACAATGTACCAGGTTGTAAGACGGTCGGGTGCAAGTGGATCTTCAAGAAAAAGACCGACATGGATGGGAAAATACACATGTATAAGGCGCGATTGGTTGCGAAGAGCTTTACTCAAACTCCCACTATGATGAGACCTTCTCGTCAGTAGTGAAGATTAAGTCTATAAGGGTTATGCTAGCCATAGTTGCATTTCGTGACTATGAAATATAACAGATGGATGCCAAAATTGCTTTCCTAAATGGGAAGTTGGCTGAAGATGTTTACATGAGTTAGCCAGAGGGTTTTGTCGATGCAAAGTACCCGAATAAAGTGTGTAAGCTTGAGAAATCCATTTATGGATTGAAACAAGCATCTCGCAGATGGAATATTTGTTTCAATTAGAAAGTCAAAGAGTTTGGTTTCTTAAGAAGCAAGGATGAGTCCTGTGTATATGTCAAAGCCAGTGGGAGTATAGTTAGCTTTCTCATAGGAAACGATGTCCCAACCCTGCAGGAGGTTAAGTCCTGGCTTAAGAAGTGCGTTACTATGAAGGACCTCGGAGAAGCTGCTTATATTCTTGGGATAAGGATATTAAGAAATATGAGTAAAAGACTAATAGGACTTAGTCAAAGTACTTACTTGGATAAAGTGTTGAAACATTTTAGCATGGAGAATTCCAAGAAAAAGGAGTTACCAATCCAAAGCAATACCAAGTTGAGTAAGAATCAAAACCTAAGTACCGAAGCCGAGATAGAAGAGATGAGCAGAGTACCTTATGCTTCCGCAATTGGCTCAATCATGTATGCTATGACTTGTACTCGCCCTAATGTGGCCTTCGCTTTGAGCATGGTCAACATATATCAAGGGAACCATGGTGGAGCACATTGGACCACAACAAAGAATATTCTTAAGTACATGCAGAGGACTAAGGAATGGTTCTTATCCTTGGTGGGAGTGATGACTTGAGAGTGCGAGGATATAGTGATGCCAGTTTCAGACCGACCGAGATAATTTCCGATCTCAGTCAGGCTGGGTCTTTACCCTGAATGGAGGATCAGTGACTACGAAAAGTTCCAAGCAGGAGATCGTAGCTGATTCAACATGTGAATCAGAGTACATAGCTGCAAGCTGAAGAATTGGGGCTTACTTGCTGGATCTTTGCTTCCTTCTTCCACCTTCTTCCTTTTTTAGCTTCAACAACACCAAACTAGCTTCAAAAATGGGAGGAAAAGATGATTAGGGTTTCTTTCGGTGCTTAAGGGGATGATGGGGGGTTGAGGGTGAACAAATCCAAGCCTCTACATTCCTTTAAATCGGGAGTATAACTCGGAAGATTAGGGTTTCATTCCAGCCATCAACACGTCGTGTTCCAAGAGGTAACATGTCGTGTTGCCCATAATGAAAACCACGCCTCTTCTTATCTGGACACGCTGTGTTGGTGCCTCCAACATGCCTTGTTCAATCCTCAAAAGGTGACTTATACCCAAAGTTGCTCCTCAAATTTCCGGGTGTTACATTTTTTTCTAGGTATAGAGACCTCATTTTTTTCTACAGCATGTAAATTCATGAAGTTTTTAACATCAAGTTTGGTATTGAAGACCTGTCCCACCTTAAATGGTTTTACATGAACCTCTCCATGTGAGCATCTACTTGACTTACTCAACTCCTTAAGCATTGTCTTCTTATCATCTTCATGAAATCCTTCAAATTGATAATCATCAGTAGCAATAACTTCCAACTCATTATCAATCATCTCATTCTCTTAATCTGTTGAATGATTGTTTAAGGTTCCATGTTTATCTACATCAACAACATTATGGAATTCAGTAATGTCTACATCAACATCAAATTGTATGTGGGACTCATCCACATTGTAGTCACTATCATCAGAATCATCTCCACTACCCTCAGAACCAAATCTACTCTCAAAACAAAAAGCCTCTCCACTATCATCACTCACCATAATCACTAGATAATCCACTTCTAGTTGATGTTGACAATATTTTTGGACAATATACTCAACATCATCTTTCCAACTTGGTTCCTCTACATGGTAAGTTCCCACTGGTTCTTCAGTTTCAACTTCATGATTGATCACTTCCTCTTGAGTTTCAGTTTCATGATTGACCACTTCCTCTTGAGTTTCAGTATCATGATTGACGACTTGTTCTTGGGTTTCAATTTCATGATTGACTACATGAATGCCATTACTTTGTTGGCTAACATGTAACCTTATATATGTAGAATACTCTTTGAGTAATCATGCACTTCATCAACATCTAATACTTGTGACTGCTCAAAAATAGGATTCATAGACTGGTTTAAATCAAGCTTTCTACACTATATGATCCTGATTCTCTCCTACAAGGTTTCTTTCTATTCATGTAAGGTGACACACCATCAGGCTCCAACTATTCAATAACAACTTTAGAAGGAGACTTATAATAACTAGGTACCCTAGTCTGACCATTTTCAATATACACCCTTATAAGTCCGTGTTTAGGGACATACAATACCATTTTAAGTACATCTTGGTCATTACCTTAAGGCATTAAGCCATAGTCTAAAGGGTATTCAGGGATACAAAAATGGTAGTAAAGGGTTTGCTTAGTTTTGTACCCTAGTTATCGAACCATGTTATTAAGCTCATGAACTGAAAATAAATCATTGTCAACATCATCTACATATGCTACACTACCATCAATGTATTTCCTTCCAGGTGCTTTGGTGAAGATACTACTGTAGTGTATCTTCAACGTGAAATAGTTGTCATATCCTTCTGCAAACACAAAAAAGAAAGGGTAAAGTCAACGATTTCTCTACATGAACACAATCAATGAAAAAAACAAGTTTTTGTAGTATCGTATCGTATCTTTTTTCCCAAGTCATGCACAGTTGCGAATTTTTCTCGAAAAACACCATATTGACAACACCATTATGATTCATTCTGCTTAAACCCTAAATCTCAATTTCTGTTCATGCTTCTAAGATGGAACTAATGCAATGATTACAACTGTAACTGGGTATGTTCTTAGGAGAGGGACGAGTTGTGGAGTTGACGTGCAAGCAATAAGTAATCATTTCATATTAAATACTGAAGGTTACAAGTGAAATGACAAAATTGCACCTGCAATCTAATATTAAAAATGAGTTAACGACTAAATGGTAACAGAGTGAGTCGGAAGGATTAAACATTAAAAGTTTTGAAATCATAAGGACCATCCGTGAGGTTTTTTAAAATTAGGGGCCAAACTTCAGATTTTGTGAAACCACTGGGACCATTTATGAAGGTTTTTTTTTTTTTTTTTTTTTTTTTTTTTTTTTTTTTTTTTTTTTTTAACTACTTTTGAATTCAAGTTTTCATAATAAAAATTTCATGAAACATGCTTTGTAATATGAAACAATTTATCATATATTATCGATTTTCATTATGTAGTTCAAATTTTGGATGAATTCTTATCCAAAATATAAAATTGAGGTGTCACAATCTCATAGGTTTTCCTTGTTTTAGAATTTTTTTTTTCTCATACTAATAAATATTAGTGAGGATGCCTTTTCTGTGAATGTGGTTTTTGTTTTTGGAACGCCGAATTTTTGCCGATGGATTTGTTTTAATGCAAAAACCGAGCAAATATATTGAATCGAACCGGTATTAATAGAAGTTAATATTTTTTATTCTAAATTCTAAAAATGGTTCATGTGTTTGTATGAAGGTTGCATTCTAATCGATATCGAATTTTACGGTTTAGTTTTTCAATACTACAAAATCTAAAATCGAATAGTTTTTCAACAAAGAAACGAAATCAAATGTTTTATCAAACAAAAAAAATAAAAAACTGACCTAAATCACAAAAAATGAAATTTAATGACTTTTCAATAAAAAAAATTGAAACTAAATCATAGAAACCAAAACATAATCCAAATGTATTTAAAAAAAAAAAGAAATAGAACTTTGTGGCTTGGCATCCACATTCATGCTACATGTTTTATGAAAGGTGACTTATGTGTATTTTATATCTTAAAGTGCAAACATGAACTTTCTAATGTAGATTGCATGAAAAATGTTTTTGATGCTTATGGCACGAGTTAAGACCCTTTTGTCGATGGCAAGAAATTGTAGTGATAATCGATAGACTTGTGCATTCCATGTCGACACCTTTTATACTTCATTGAATAACGGTGAATACGATGATATGCGGGCTAGCTGTGTTGTGACCTACATTCGTATTTAATTAGATGATTGGAAAGACGGTACTTTTTGTGAGGTGCAATCCGTCAATAGCAACAAATAATAAGTTTGCTATTTATGTCATTTATATTTTAATTCAATTAAATGTCACTAATTTTTTTTTTTTTCATTGTACCATTGGCTAGCTTTCAATCGGCAAATTGATATTGAATCCTACGCATTGTTTTTTTTTTTTTTTTGGAAACGGCAAATATATATTAAAAATATGGTACCCTCACCTAGCAAGGAACTAGATAAGGGACCAAAAACAGAGTACACAACAGATTAGAAATTACAAACCAGCAAAAGGTGAAACACTCCACTCTTCCCAATTACAGATACCATGCTTACTTCTATGCTTCAACCAGTAGAAGACCATAGACTTTATAACATCAGACCCTTGTATCGGTGAGATACCCTCCATTTGAAATAGACGTTTATTCCTAATTCTCCATAAGTTCCAAAGCAAACCATAACAGATGGCAACAAACCTTTCTCTCTTTCTATTACTGATGCTCTAGGTAGCAGCTAGTTGAAGAAGGTCTTGGACATTTTTTATAAGATTCTGAACAGTTGATACGCCACACCAGCTCAAAATGTTGTTCCTTATCATCGTTGCAAACGGACAGTCCACCAGGACGTGCCCTGTAGATTCAGGTATCCCAATGCACGAGCAGCATAAATTGGAATTGACCACAATACCCCTCTTCTCCAAGGACACAGTTGTTGGTATTCTATCTTGAGCAGCCCTCCAAACAAAGCATAATACATTGATTGGAACCACCTTACACCATACAATATCGGGAGTGCCAGGAAAATTGACGTGTGTAGCATCCACGATCTTTCTAAGAGAGCTAACGGAATACCTGCCATCTGTTGGAATCCTAAAGTCACGTAGGACCTTAGAGACCAAGTAATCAATAAATATGGCAAGTTGGTCATGTTTCCTAATTGCAATCTTATTCTACAAGTTAGGTAGTTTAGGAGTATATATATATGTATAAATACTGAGATATGGTTTGTACATAAAAACACAACATAGGTTTTGAGTTATTTTCCTATTAATCAAAGAGATATTTTGATTGTGTTTTCTAAACTTGAATTGGTATCAGAGCTTGAGTCAAGAAGCTGTGAGATCAAATCTTACCTGTTGATAAGAAGATCAACATGTCATGAGGGGATGGAGAGGCTTCGGTGAGGGTGGAAGAAATTGGATCAACCTCTGTTCAGTGCCCTATGCTCACGTCAACAAATTACATGGTGTGGTCAATGAGAATGAAGGTAGTATTAAAGATTCACAAAGCTTGGGAGATAATTGAACCTGGAACTACAAAAAATCAAGACAAAGATGATTTAGAAATAGGTTTAATTTATCAATCGATACCTGAAGAACTCATAATCCAAATCGGTGAACAAGAATCTTCCAAGGGACTTTGGGAAGCAATCAAATCAAGACACATGGGGGCTGACCGTGTGAAGGAAGCACGATTACAAACCTTAATGTCCGATTTCGATCGGTTGAAGATGACTGAGTCGGAGTCTATCGACTCTTTCATGGGAAAGCTGTATGGAATTGCATCCAAGGCAGCCGCACTAGGTGAATCGATCGATGAACAAAGAATGGTGAAGAAATTCTTGAAATCACTACCAAGGGCAAAGTTCATCCACATCGTCGCATCATTAGAGCAGGTACTCGACTTGAAAACCGTCGGATTTGAAGATGTAGTAGGACGGCTAAAGGCGTATGAAGAAAGGATTAGGGAGGAGGATGAGACCGGAGGTGAGGGTCAGACGAGGGCCCTGTTCGTCGATCATAGCTCGAATCGAAAAAGAACAGCGTTGAAGGGCAAATGGAAAGGGGCTGGTGGATCGGGTGGGTATAATCAGCATGAAGGATCCGGGTCTGGGTCTGCTGGATCACAAAACTCAAATAGGCCCAAATTCAAAAAAACCCCACATGGAATAAACCAAAATAAAACAACACAAGCCCAAGGAGGAAAGCCCAATTCTAATTCTGAAACGAACCGCAAACCTAAAAAGGACCGCTCCAATATTATTTGTTACCAGTGTGATAAACCTGGCCACTTCGCGTCTCAATGTCCGGACCGAATCAAAAAATTACAAGAAAGTAATTTTGTTGAATATGACGATACCGACGAGGCCGTATTTTTACACGAGACCGTGTTTTTAAATGAAGAAAAGGTGATACCGTCTCGATACAACTCACAAGAAAACGATGTGTGGTATTTGGATAATGGGGCGAGCAATCACATGACGGGGAACCGGTCATTTTTCTCCGAGCTTGACGAAGGCATAACCGGGAGGGTTAAATTTGGAGACAACTCGTGTGTAAAAATCAAGGGAAAAGGTGCTATACTTTTCCAAGGCAAGAAAGGTCAACAAAGGCTGATGACGGAGATTTACTACATACCAGATCTCAAAAACAACATTATAAGTCTCGGACAAGCAACTGAAGTCGGGTGTGATATTCGAATGAAAGATAACTATTTAACCATGCACGATGCCGATAATTGCTTATTAATGAAAGTACAAAGAACTTCAAATCGCCTTTATAAAATAAAATTACAGATTGGAGTTCCTATTTGCCTTCATTCAAGACTAAGTGAAAATGTGTGGCGATGGCATGCAAGACTTGGGCACATCAATTTCGAGGCAATGAAAAAGATGTCCAAGAAGGGTTTAGTCAAAGGGTTACCGAAATTAGATCATGAGAATCAATTATGTGAATCGTGCTTAGTCGGCAAGCAAACAAGAAAGTCCTTCCCAACCATGATGACATACAAAGCGAAACAACCATTGGAGCTTGTTCACGGCGATTTATGTGGTCCGATCACGCCGGCAACCAAGGGTCAAAATAGGTACATTTTTACATTAATTGATGATTTTTCACGATTTATGTGGATTTATCTCATAAAAGAAAAAAGTGAGGCGTTTACACACTTCAAAAAATTCAAAGCTTTGGTGGAAAATGAAATTGGAAAGCCTTTGAAAGTGTTTAGAAGTGATCGAGGAGGTGAGTTTACCTCTCTCGAGTTTAATTCTTTTTGTGAGCAAAACGGAGTCAAACGCCATCTCACCGCCCCATACTCTCCACAACAAAACGGAATTGTGGAACGAAGAAACCGAACTCTTATGGACATGACGCGAAGTATAATGAAGGCAATGCATGTTCCAAACTACTTATGGGGAGAAGCGGTAAATCACTCCACAAATCTAATCAATCGTGTTTATACGAGATTCCTTGGTGATACAACTCCATACGAAAAGTTGTATAAAAGAAAACCGAATTTAGAGAATGTTCGTATATTTGGGTGTCTAGCACATGCAAAAGTTGAACCGGTTAATCAAAAAAAGTTGGATGCAAGATCAAGACCGCTAGTATATGTTGGTTTCGAACCGGGTACGAAAGCTTACCGATTATTTAACCCGGTAACACAAAAAATAATTGTGAGTCGAGATGTTATTTTTGATGAAACCAAAGGGTGGGATTGGAATAAAGAAGTAGGAACCAACAATGAAGAACCGGGCTCATTCGTAATACCATGGGACTACCTAAGAGACGATGCGAGCACCAACCAAGGAAACAATGTAAATAATGATCCAATTCAATCGGATCATGAGATTGGAGATGAAGGGGAAGTACAAGATAACCAACAACCAAGTCCGGTAAATAATAATGTTCAACAAGGAGCTACAAGTCAAAGACCCTCGAGAGCAAGAGTACCTCCAAGACGATTTCAAGATTATGAGCTTGATCTTGACAATCTCGAAGAACTCCTTCTAACAACCAAAGACGAGCCGGTATCAGTTGAAGAAGCGAAGAAAGAACCAGAGTGGGTCAAGGCCATGGATGCGGAAATCAAGTCGATAAACAAAAATAATACTTGGACTATTGTGAACAAACCTATGGGGGTGAAGCCAATTGGACTCAAGTGGGTGTTCAAATTAAAGAAAAATGCAGATGGCACCATTAATAAATACAAGGCAAGGTTGGTTGCTAAAGGTTACGTGCAACAACCTGGTATTGATTTTCAGGAAGTGTTTGCCCCGGTAGCTCGAATCGAAACTATTCGGTTTCTTATAGCCTTAGCAGCTACTCATGGGTGGGAGCTTCACCACTTGGATGTTAAAACAACGTTTTTACATGGAGAATTAAAAGAAACTGTTTACGTGTCACAACCAGAAGGCTATATAAAGAAAGGCAATGAGCATAAAGTATATCACCTTACTAAAGCACTATATGGTCTTAGACAAGCACCTCGAGCATGGAACACGAAGCTTGATGGGATTTTGAAGAATATGAAATTTCAAAAGTGCATGAAAGAACCATCGGTGTACCGGAAATGTGAAGGATCTAACTTGCTAATTTTAGCAATTTATGTTGATGATTTATTTGTCACAGGTACAAATTTGAGCATGATCAAGAGATTCAAATTAGAGATGTCCAAGAACTTTGAGATGGCGGATCTTGGAAGATTAACTTATTACCTTGGCATTGAAGTTAAGCAAGAAGAATCGGGGATTACTATAAACCAAGAAGCATATGCTCAACGCATTTTAAAGGAAGCCGGTATACATGATTGCAATCCGACCCATATACCAATGGAACCAGGAAATAAATTGTCAAAGGCCGAAGATGAACCCGAAATCGACCCAACACAATATCGAAAGGTGGTAGGATGTATTAGATACCTCTTGCAAACAAGACCCGATATGGCATATGCGGTTGGAATTGTTAGCCGATATATGCAAAGTCCAAGAGAATCACGTGGTGGTGCAATCAAACACATTCTAAGGTACTTACGAGGAACAACGGGATACAAAATCAAGTACGAGAGAATGGGACTGATATGTGTATTTTTAGATATATTTTTATGCACTTTATCTTAATATTTTGGCCTTATTTATTATGTTTTAGAACTAAAGAGTACTCATAATGCTTTGAATTATGTTTTGCAGCTATTTGTTGTCAATAAAGCACAAGAGAAAAGACTGAAGCGGAAATTGGGCTTAGAAGCTAAAAGAATGAAAATGGGGGCTGAGGTCGCGGTTACGCCCCGCGTAACTTAAGAGTACGCCCCGCGTACCTGTGTGCACCGGATATACATGATCGCGTAGTTATCTTGAGTACGCGCCGCATAATCCTAAGTACGCCCAGCGTACTTAGGTCGGCCACAAAGATTATAAATGTCGATTTTTAGCCAACCAGGAGGGGGAATTCGACTTCTAACCTAATTTAGTCGACAATTAACTTCTGTTAAGCCGTTTTGAGGGTCTAGAAGGCGGCCGGAAGGCCGTTAAGCTAACGGGAGCAGAGATCTGAAGGATTAGAGAGCGGATACATGTCGGTAATCATATGGATTGCTAACGTGACCATGTTTAGCACTTCCTTATGGTACTTTTTGTATTTAGTTTCTGATTTGGGTGTAAAAACCTTTTACTTTGTGTTTATGATTGAATGAAGTTTTGATTCTTAGACTAATTGTGATGTTAAATAATTTATTTGTGTTTAATTTATCTTGCCAAGCTTGTTCAAAGATCCTCATGTGTTAATGATGATTATTTGCTGTTAATTGTTAAGTGAATTAAGTTGTATGAAAACCTGCTTGATTTGCTTGTCTCTTATGATTTTTGATGACCATTGAGATTATAAGACTAGAAATAACGAATGTGAAACTAGGATTAACATGGGAATAAATAAGTTAATGTGTGAGCCTTGTTTGATGACCATCAACAAGAGGTTAATTAAATGTTTAAATTAACTAAGTTTACAAGTCTTGCTTGATACGAACTGAACACTAGGAAGCATGTTAGTTTAATCAATTGATCACTGTTTGAATTAACTTGTTTGCTAAAGGATTAGTTATAGTGAACATGAATCTAATCAATTTAGGAATCGGTGAACATGAATAAATGAATTT